AAGTATTAGTGAGACCCTGGTTTTACATGTGAGGAACCTAAGGCTTAGAGACATTAGGTCACGTGCTTAAAGTCACACAGCTGGAAAGAGTACACAGGGCTCTACTCCAGGTCACTTGACCTGCTGTGCCTGGACTGTTTCTTAACTTGCTCACTAAGACCACACAGCCAAGAATCTCTGTCCTCCAAGCCTGTAGAACCACCTCGATTCCAAGCCCAGCCATCCTAGGTGTGACTTTCCACAACCATTTTCCACACAGAGCCATCACAGATCAGGGCAGTAGGTCAGCCTTCCCTCTGGCCAGTGGATCTTTCTTTTGTTCTTCACTTCTGTGCCCTGTCTTGTCTGTTCCCCGAGCCTGAACTGGCTCTGGGGGTGGCTGCTCCTTCTCCACCATCTGTGGACTCACAGACCATGGTCAGAGTAGGTGCTCTGCTCTTAGCTTCTGTCCCTGACTCCTCACTCGCAGTCCTGGTGGTAACCCTCTATCTGTGTGTTTGTCCGTGTGTTGCCTCCTTCTCCACACATCGACAGCACAGAGCCTGATGCAGAATAGATACTCAATGAAAGGATGCTGGATAAACAAAAGGCTGAAGGAATAGCATGGTCCTTCCTCAAACGTCCGCCAATATCTTTTAACCTTGTCCTTTCATTAATGTCATGTCCGTAGTCAAGGAATTTACCTCAGTCCAAGGGCCTGGTAATGAGATATGTTCATCAGGGTCTCCAACTGTGTGTTATAAACAGACAGTCGCCCCTCAGCATCAGCAGGGCCCTCTGAATTCCCAGGTTCCAGCACGTCCCTCAAATACCCAAATCCACCGGTACTGAAGTCCCTTATGAAAAAGAAATGGCAGTGTTTGCATATTGTCTATGCACACCATCACAAGTACTTCAAGTCTTCTCTAGAATATTTATAATACTGGATACATTATAAATGCTATGCAAATTATTTTTTACTACATTGCTTAAAGAACCATGACAAGAAAAAAAAAGTCCATACTTATTCAGTACAGATGCAATACTTTTCAAGGTTTTTTAGTCTCCAGTTGGTTGACTCAGTAGATGTGGAACTGTCAGGTACAGAGAGACATTTATACATATGGTGTCTATATGGGATTCTATTTGTGATAAAAATGATTTAATTACTTTGATGTATCAGGTGATATATAGATAGATAGATATCCATAAAGAAGATACTGTATATGTTGTTTTGCTATTTTCTTTCCTTATTTAATGACCCATCATGATTATTATGTCATCTGTTGATCAGCCTTGTATTGTTAGCTAAATATATTTTTCAAAAATAAAAATAGAAGTATTCCTTCTTGGTGGGGAATTCAAACAGTCCAGGGATGATAAGCTGGAGCACACAAGCACCGAGCCACTGTTTCCACACCGAGAACCTGGAAGGGTGTGTACAAACATCAGGATGGATGACAGAAGGTGCATGCCAAAATCAGGAGCAGCATGGAGCAGGTGAGGGGCCAAGCTGACCAGGCAGAGAGGAGTGTAGGATGTGGCCAGATGGGAGGGTAAGCAGGGTGAGTGGAGTGGAAAGGCAAGGCCAAGGCTGTGCTAAGCAGAGCCTTGCAATGTAAAGACAAGCTGGAGATGCCCCCGCAGTGGTGGGAGGCCTTGGGAGGGGCGTCTTTGTGCAGAGGAGGAGCACAGGGACCATCTAGCCGTAGCCTGGCAAGCAGTAGCAGAGGCCGCAAGTGAAGCTCACCCCTAGCGGCTTCCTCTTTACCCTCAAAGAAGGTAAAGATTTTTGTACCAGTGGTTCTGCCACCCGGCCTTCCAACAAATGGGCACACTTGCCTGTTTCCAAGTGGCAAGTGTTTATCTGCATCTGGAGTCTCAAAGTTCAAAATAAACTTCCAAACAAAAGGGCCATCCACCCCTCAGCCTGTCTGTGTGCTCGACTAGGAGAGAACCAAGGCTCTGGGCCCCCTGATGATTTGCCCAGCCAGGCTCACAGCCCCACCCTCAGCTTCCTCCCATGTCCTTCCCCTCTGATTGTTGTAGACATCCTCATGGGGACAGCTTTTAAGTTTCCCTTAACCCTTTTCTTCCTATCCTCCCAATAACTATGCAGGAGGAAATGAGATGGATTCCCCAGTGGTAGTTACTTGGGCCTTCTACAGTGGTCCAAGGCCAGGAGTCCCTCCTAAGAGCAAAATTCATTGGTACTTGACTGAGTGTATTATTAAAAACAGCCCTAGGGCCAGGAGATGGTTCAGTAGAATAAGCACTTTCCTGGCAAGCTCAAGGGCCTGAGTTCAATCCCTGTTCTGCCAAAAACAAAACAAAACAAACAAAAAACAGCCCTAGAGTAGAAGAATGGGCACTTTCTTGCAGTTAGACAATCTAAAAGTGCATTTTTATGGCCACCATCCTGTGGAAAAGCCCAACAGGACTCCCTAAGTAGGGGACAACAGAATTGTCATTGAGAGTAACTATAACGCCCAGTGTTACTGATTAGCAAACACCAACTCATCATTTACCATGCACTGCACTAAATATTTTAACAGGCACAACAATCCTAAAGTAAGTGCTGTTATTATACCAATTTTACAGATCAAGAATTGAAGACTTGGGGCTGGTGAGATGGCTCAGTGGTCTAAAGCACCTACTTAGAACAAGCTTAGGAGAGCACAGGGACCGGGGTTCAATCCCCCAGCACCACATGCCAGCCAGCCCCGCCCCCAGGTGGGCTGAGCTGGACACACACACACAAATAAATAAATAAAATAAATTAAAAAAAAAAGAATTGAAGACTTATAGAGGGGCCTAGTATTTTGTCCAAGGTTATGCAGCTAGTAAGTGGTGCGCGGAGCTGGGTTTCAAAATTAACCAGGCTAGTGACAGTACCTGAGCCACCACTGTTTACCTAATTCCTGTTTTGCTTAGTTGATTGTTGAGTGATTAGATATATCAATGAATATGATCTTTTTTTTTACTACATCCTATAATAGGAAAAGTTTTGAGCACTGAGACTGTGGCTGATAAAAATATTCATGAAATAGTGTTGTTAATTTTATATAACTGGTTGATCTGAATTTTCTCCCAGAAAAAAGTATCTTTTCTCCAAATATTAGAACCTAGAAAGATATCTACAACTTGGGAACTGAATAAGGAATCCCAGTATGAATGTGTAGGGACATCTAGGGAAAGCTTTGGGAATAATTTCAATATTCATTGATTACTTATTGCTTCCAAAGCTACTCTGGGTCTCTGCCATTTTCAGTGGCAATGACTGGCCTACAAATCAAGTGCCTGGGATACCTGCTTAAAATACTAAGTAAGGGACTCCAAGGTCTAGCTATCTCTCAAGGGTCTGCTATACTTATAAAAACTTTGAGGACAATTTTGAGGAGATTAGGCCTATTTTTATCCCCATCCATTAGGGGAAAAAAATAATAATCCTAATTTTAAGTTGAAATGTGTTTCAACTGTACTGATCCTTTGACGCATCAAGATCCTTTGATTTTTGTCGTGTCTTGGGGACATACATCATACCAATTTTTTCACCCTGTGTATGTTAGAACCATTTTATTTAATTAAGAGGTATGTTCTTTCTCCAGCTTTAAGAGGGTGGTTACCTCTGCTTACCCGCACGCCCGAGGCTCTATACTGTGAGTCTCACAGGACGCTGAGCTAGGCATGAGATCTGGTCCAAGTCAATCTCAAGACACTGCCTTGTGTAACAACGCAGACAGCACAGCACGGCCTCTCTGGCCCACTGTTTCTTTGTCCATGCGTGGGTATTTACAGCTCTCTGCTTCCACAATACTCTCATTAAGTCATTCTAGGGACAAAGCTTGTGTATTATCCCAACCTTGTTTTTCAACACTCAAATGTCATGCTTCCCTGACCATGGATTAGACTCAGGAGGTGACAAAGTCAGTAATCACAAGAAGGTAAAGAACCCCACCCTATGTTGGTCACTTGTAACCAAACATTCAGAAAGCAAATGTCTATAATACACACCTTTAAGACCTAATTATCAAAAAATAGTAATTTGAGGGAAGCGCTAGGTGGCCGTAAGATCTGAGGTGGACCCGGAGGTGAGTCACTAAGCCGCAGGCTTGCTGTTTTCCTCAGATGAGGAGTGGGCCGGGGAGGAGGTGCCCTCTGAGGGCTGCGCCATGTAGGGCTGGAAAAGATACGGGTCACTCTGCGCCTGCCACAGCGTTAGGCCCTGGGCTGGGCACAGGGGGCAGGTGGGAACTGTGCCGGCAACACCAGGCCTTTCATGGAGTTAAAATTTTGGTGAGGAAAAGAGGAGACAAGGGGCATGAAGAGAATACGTGAGGGAAGTGGTTAGAAGGCGGAGGAGAGCCCAGGTCGCACCCGCTGGCCCAGCCCGCCCGCCACAGTCCAGGGACCTGCTCTGCCCCAGGAGGCCTGGGCTGGGACTTGCCCTCCCACAGAGCCAACCTTTCCTCCCCGCCCCTCCCAGCCGCAACTTTCTCGCCTCTCGCTGTCCCGCACGGACGCCCAAGTCCCCCGGGGCGCACAGGCGCCCCAGCACCCCTCGGCGGCCCTAGCCCCCCGGGGCCCCTTCCATCCCCCACCCCCGGGACCCAGGCGGCAGCCCGGCGGGGCGGGGCCTCGGACCGCGCCCGCGCGTCCA